GTAACGACGTGCATCCCGCCCAAGAGTGATATTTCGCGACTTTGACGCTTTAATCCGCAAATACTAGTCCATCAATCGATACAATTTATTAACTATTTGTGGATGTCGCGGTAATCGATTGTAGCAATTCTTCGATAGAGTAGATTTTTCATAACTATTTTGTCACCTATTACTTACGATCGCGCGGCCAAGAACATTATTGACAAATCTGTCAATAACCGGCACTGAATATGCATTATTCAGTTTTCTCTGACATTTGCTTAATGTAAATAATTTATATTGGATAAGAAGGTGACAATTTCAACATCGGAGAAGCGTGCATTAATTTATGTGCCAGTATAAATAGAGAAATAGCTTTCAATCTTTGATTATCGAATTTTGCACGGTGTCAGAAATCCACTAGTCTAAGTAAAATCAATTTTATATCCAGCTATATTAAGAAAGATTTTTATATTTTCTTTCAGAAAATTTTAGAAAATATTTTCAATTTATTTTATATATTTCCTCTTTCATATATTTATTTTAATATACTTTATTAGAGTTTAAGTATAATAAAGTAATAATTATAAATTTACGCATACAAATATACTAATGGATGGATTATTATTTCTTTGCGAATCTCACCGGAGACAGATTTTCGCATAGAATTCTTTCTAATGGACATACGTTATAGAATTATGAGGAAAAAAAGAGAGAAAAAGAGAAAGAAAATGAAAGAGAGAGAAAGAGAGAGAGAGAGTGCAGAGAGCATCGATGTAAACATCAGGTCGGATATATTTTTCTCGTAGAAGTGCAACATGTGCGCGCGCAAGTGCAGTATCGAGAAACCCGGATCGGAATAAATGAAAGAATTGTAGAATAGATTGCGGGAATAAGGTTAAGTTCTAGGTTCTAGGATATCGGAATTCATGGCAAAATAACGAACGGCGTACGGGATATATACGATAGGGATAAAATTTATGACGCTGCCCGAATATTTGAGTGCGAATGCAAGAGACAGTGACATAAGAGAACTCACGTTTAGTGCACTCTTCGCTGCAGATGAAGCTAAAGGACCCTTTAGTGTTTCGGACAACTACAATTTCACCTTTCGCTTTTCACCCCTTTTCGATTTGTCATCTCCTCTCTCTCTCCCTTTCTCCTTAAATTATTCAAGTTATTGCTAAGCATTCCCGAATGTGCGCGTGACTTTGCTTCATCATTGTTTTAAGTACACTTCTGCTTGGTATTCTTCGAGTGAGGGAGAGAGTCTCTCTTATACGATTCTTATATAAAATAAATATTTTTGCACCGACATATCATATTTATCTTCTACCTTTTTTTATTTCTCTTTCGATTTTTATCATTTCGGTGTTTACCGTTCACTGCTTTGTATCTTTAACATTCTCCGCTCTTGAATTATTCTTGTTCTGATGGGGCTTGTTCCAGAATAATAAACAGATCTATTTTTCTCCTTTCCTTGATCTTTCTTTTTTTCTCTCTTTTTGCTTTCCTTTTTTTCCTTATTCTTCCTTTCGGCACTAGGTCTCCCCTGAGAATTACGAGTTCGTTGGTTGTGCTACTGGCAAGAAGTAAGGTGTATCTTTTCATTGCGACGGTAAAACTCAAAGCCAAAAATGCGAGATGAGCGGGTTATATATATGTATAGATAAATTGTGATAGGTAAAATCGTTGTTGAAAGCAACAACGACTTTATAGCGTTAGAGCGAGAATCCGATCAGGTATCGCTCCTCGATCGTGTATCGAAACGTCAATCGTAATTGTCGCAACGGTCGAAATCGATATCGCGCGCATAGCTGGCGATAAAATCGCGACAGCGAGGATCGATTTGGTATTAAAATTTCACGCCGACGAGCGAGGATCGAATGGATTACGGATTACGGAAATCGTCGGGTCGAATGGATTCTCCTCGCTAAAAAAGACGAATACATTGGTGAGAAAGCTAAGAATCATCGAATCGAATATCGCACCAAATTAGGAAGAAAGCAATTTATCGTAACTAAATGATCACGCCCTTCAAGGTTTACAGAAAATTTATACAAGGATATATTAAAAAATGTGAAACAAAAGATTAAATCTCAATCGAAAGATCTCAATCAAAAATAAAGATTAAAGAGACGATGCTCAAGTTGTGACTATTTAAATTTCAAATGTCACAGATGACGAAGATTCTAAAATTTGATCTGATCGAACTGACGCGGAACTTGACCGTGGAATTTTGTGTTAAATAAAGAAAGGAAGTAAAAGAGGGAAAGAAAGGCGTAAAACTAGGAGAGAAAGCTTCGAAATGAGTTTGAGGAACAAGGTTAAGCACTAGGATATCGGAATGTCCGGTGAGGTGGAAAAGAGATTCGTACGGAATACGATGGCAACTGTACAAATAGAATAGAGTCCCTCTCGGAAAAATCAAAGACGAGAAAAATACAGTTTCTTGGAGCATCCACCGTATTGCGGTGGTTTAGTAGCGTGAGGCCGTTAAACGGCGGCCAAGCAAATAGAATGAAAATCGCTTCTAGGAGAGATGTATGAGGGAATCGACCTCGTCGAGTAAATTAAAAGCGAAGGACGACACGTCGTTGTTGACGTTCCACCAAATGCACGCAAAAACCAAGCAAGGGAAACGTGAGCTTTTAGAAAAAAAAAGCGTATTAAAAAGTTTCGGTAGATGGATGACGAGTTTTTATAATATCGGGCTGTGGCGTTATAATAGATCGTCGTTAGTGTGACGTCTATTTCATACATCATATCTTTTCCTTGACAAAAAATAAATTTACGAAAAAAGAAATAATCAATATTTATTATGTTATAATAAACATCAAAATCATCAAAGTTATCAATGAAATATATTGATAATATTTATTTCTTGGAGTCGCCGATCATTTCGATTTATCAAAATTTATTAAATATATCTAGCTGTCATAACGTTTTAATTATTTCTTTATCATAATTTTCATAATCAAATAACAATTATCTTGCACCCTTTTAGTTCATGTTGCAAATCGAGCCTCTTGGTATTAATACGATTAAATAAACAAAGTAAACGCATCGTTGTAAATGCCGAAACGATGATGAAATTGAAAGCCTCATCCATTCTGCTTGACGCACGAAGATATAGTTGCCGAATGTACCCATACAACACTGTGGTCGCGATATCGGAATTCGGGATATATACGTATAAGATGGGCGAGCCAAAGTAACCGCGGGAGTGCTTCGAAATGGGTTGCGGGAACAAGGTTGAGTTCTAGGATATCGGAATATATGGGCGCGTAACACAAGGGGGGGGTAGAGAGGTAGGTAGGTAACACGTGAAATTTATGGCATCGACGGAAGGAAAGGTCCCTAAAGAAGGGAGCACGGGAGAAAAAGAAAAGGGCCGGTGGAGAGGAGGAGAAGAGTATACTCGAGGACGTGGAATAAAATTGTTCGGTCTTTACATAAAACACTAGAACACCCGTCGAAGGCGAGAAACGAAATATCTCGTTTCGTCGGCGCAACAACATAATTCTGCCGATTCGATCCGCGTCGATGGGGATGTCTCGAAAAGGAAAAAAAAAAAGAAAAGAAAGAAGAATCAGGGACGAAAAAAAAAAAACGGAGAGAGAGCCGAGTTGTATCCGGCGGAAATCCTCCGGTGTAGCGAGATCGAATTCCTGGCCACTCCCGTCTCGCGTGGAATAATAGAACGCTCGGGGGCGAATAATATTTAAGGATGCGGTTTTGCTTCTCTCATTCTCGACGGCAACGGCAGCGGCGAGCCGTGGAATAAGGATTTTATCGTGAATCGCCGTAACGATCGTCCTTACGACGCGATTCGCCACGCTCTCGAGGGCAAAACAGCCGCTCGCGTATTGGCTCGAGTTCAAGTCGAAACGAGACGACGACGGTGCCGGCGAAAAATGCGTACCCTGAAAGCTTCGGTAGTATGTTATTTACGAATCGCTATTAACCCCGCGATGTGACCTACTGCTCTTCTTATCTGAAAATTTTACGCAATAAAATCGGAAACGATAACTCAGGTTTTATATTCGGGACGTAATCTGATTCATCTTATCTGAATGTGTTCCTACACAATCAGATTTAAAATGAGAACGCTGCTTTTATATTGCAGCATGTAGTCTGATGAGTGTAGAGCAAAATAAAGATTTCAATGAGTCTACTTTTAGAAATTTTGTTTAAAGAAAAGTTGCATCTTCGATCGTACTCGAGATTTTAGATATCTCTCGATTTTATTTCGCATCATAGATTCAATTACATTGTGATTTGTGTTGAAAAATAATCATAATTATTTTGCTAACGGTCATTAAAATTAATTACATTTTTATGTGATAATTCTCGACACTTAATGACCCTTGTTAATTTATCAGTACTCTGTTATGTAATTGGTAATTGATTGAATGCCACGCGATGTAAGGTGATTACGATGCGTATTATTAGTTAATTTAATTGGCCGTTCTCTCTCTCTCTCTCTCTCTCTCTCTCTCTCTTTCTCGCGCAGCATCGCCAATAACATCGCGTGTAGCGGGCAAATGAGAAGCTAATATAGACGACTATGTACCACGCGGTACATATTGGACCGCATTCAAATCGAAACTCAAACAATGCCACGGACGTGTTTCCGGGATCGTCAATGGATGCTAAGGAATCTGTGCTAAACGTTTTGCCGCATGTCCCGAAATTACTTTGAACTTTGGCGACCGTCTCGGCCGACGTTTGCTGTACACATACAATCATACGACGGTACGGCGGAGGAATGGCAAACAATGTTATGTCAATTTAATCAGACATCGATTTTGCGACTGGTATGAAACATATATGCGTATTTGTGCTTTTATGAATGGACATATGTAAGAGAGATGTTATCGGATCTATTTGTTCCTTTACTTTGCCTTTAGAAAGTTAAAAATATTTTAACTCTTATTTTCTAATGAAAAATCTTTCGATATCGATTGTGAGAAAATAATAGAGAAAAGAAATTGAAAATGGTTTGATTGAAAACTTACCTGACGAGTTTCCTGCTGTCTGTGTCGTCTCTGTTGATAGCTCTGAAATCAAATTCAATTGTAACGATTAATGATTCAATAATTGTTATGCGCGTATGATATGCATATACATATATATATATCAAATATAATCAAATAATATTAGTTGAGCGGTAAGAAGCGCACTAATCATTTTCTGCGAGTTACGTAATTTTATAATTGCGTCGGTGACAGTATCGCTCTTGCGGCAAATTAATTAAACGAGTTTCTCTTCGCCGGTCAATTCCTTCGAAATTTTCCATAAGGGCCGTAATTCCGTAAAGAGGTTACGGCAATGCGACTCTTACTGAAAGTGGCTTTAACTAGTTAAAGTCCATCCCTTGTCGACGGGAAATACCTTTAACCGCGTCATCGCAGTCGACAATGCCAGGGTCTCATTGGGATACCGATATATCGATATTATAGAGGAGTGCAAAAGCGATTGTAACACAACAGAGAGAGAGAGAGAGAGAGAGAGAAAGAGAGAGAGAACTTCCCTTTATTACCAACTTTGAAATTATCTATGTATATTACTAACACTGTCTCAAATTAAACCGTCTAACTTGTGTACATATTTGAATCTTCTCTATCAAACATTATTTAAACAACAATTATCGTACTCAAAATTTTTATGAATACTTATATATATTATTTTAATTATAATTATAATATAAATTATATATTATAAAAAAATTTGTATAAATAAATTTTTACAAGTTTCTTGTCTCAAGAAACTTATAATATAAGTACATATTTTTCGTCAATATTAAAAAATATATATTTGCAATGGCTGGATCGATCCGTTCTCAGTGCGCCATGGTTACAAGCCAGAATCTTGCTCTAGGGTTAAATCTATCTGTCTCGCGAAACGAAGCGCGCTCTTCTAAATGCGGAGAAATCGATCGTTGCGGTTTCGCTCGCCGCGAAGCAAATTCTCGACGCGAACTGTCGAAGGCGAACGTGTTCCGTCGTTAAAAATGTAAACTCCAACGATCTTATAAGCGCGGGCATAGTTCATTTGCCTCATAAAGGCGAAACTAATGGTCGGCGCGGAGTTATGTATCCCCTATTGGCTCGCATTCAAGTCGAAATTCAAACCGCGCCGTTGAAACGCGCGACATGATCACCGGCCGGTTCGTTTACTCTAGGTTGAAGCACGAAGTCAGCTTGTCGAATTATTAACCCTTTCGTTATCGGGCAAAATTTATGCAAAACGTCGATGATTTTAGGCAATTTCGTGTATTTTAAAAGATTAATGTGTCTTTCTGCAGTATTGTAAAGCTACTCGTTGTAAGATGGGCGTATTATACATTTTGCGATCGATTATCTATAAATTGCTTGAAGGATGAAAAGTTCATTTTTCTTCAAAACTTTAAATTTCTTGGAAGAAAATTTAATCGTGTACAACTGCTGATTCACTTTATTATCAATAGTTTTATTATAAAATTAATTGGTAATTATCTAAAGAAAAGGAATGAGTTATAATACAAAGAATAATAACAAAACGTTATATTAAGTCATGTAGAAACATTTTTGATGAGTTAATGCAAATAATTATCCAGCGCAAACTGATAAATTGCAATATTTTACATACGTTTTTATTTTTATATAACTTATTTCGCAGTAATCGCAATAAAACGATTGAAATGACAAATCGATGACGATGAATCACAAACGCGGAAATAGCGCGCATACCTACGTATCGTTACATTCTCGAATCGGCATTGAAACGATGTCGTGAAACAGGTACGTGAGATCACCGCAGGATAGGAATCGAGATATTACCGCCACCGGTGGGAAGCCGGAACATTTGAAAAGAATTTTATTTTCTCATGCATTTTTATATCTATGAAGCATTCGTAGTGCTAAAATGTAACATCGAATCATCGTAACATCGAAGTACATTCGTAAAGGTTAGGTTAGGCAAGTTATTGCCAGCTAAAGATATGATATAACAAAGATTCTAAATAAATTATGTGAAGAAATAATATAAGCTCTATCATTAAAAAATTTATTTTTTCTTCGCAAAAATCTACTAAATGTGTGTATTTATTACAGGCCTAAAAATTTATATAGATTTGAAAAACAGAAATAATTTTGGTCATTAAAGACGCAAAGATTTATTTTAAAACTTTTGAAAATAAATTTGTAAATTATCATTTATTACCTAAATTGTCATGTTTTAATAAAACTATGATGTTTAATTTTTTAAATATGACATAACTTATTAAAATTTTTATTTTTCCAATCATTTAAAAACCTTCAATAATATTTCAATTTCGGTATTTAATATAATCACAAGGCAAATAATTAGCCAAAAGCTTTTGTTAAAATTCCATCACAGTAGAATGTTAATTATGATAATTAAAAGAGGGAGAGAGAGAAAAGTAGTTATCAATTCTTATCGGAGAAAATACTCGCGACTGGATTAGACTCGCGTCATTAGAAATCTTGTCACGTGGAATAAATGGACATTTCCATTCTTCGAACAGAGAAAAATAAATCTATAATTTCTACAATCTGTGATCGCAATTTTCTTACTTATCCTGAAAGAAATGTGCCGCGTATAAATAGATATTAAATTAGTGATGAATTAATACCATAGAACGTATAACTTATATTCTTTGTATATAAAAATTATTCAAGATTTCCAAAAATTACCGTTCCTTTTTCTTCGAAAAAAATTTAAATATATTATTATATCATAGAAATATTTTATTTAACCACTCTTGGATTAAAAAATCAATTGCTTTTGAACTTTTATAAAACAACTCCAATATTAATTTTTTTTTATAATATCGAAATTAAATTTTTAAACTTTAGTTTTTCATTGTAATGTTAATTTCTCTTCTTTTTCGCTCGCCTCGGTCTCTTTAGTGAAAACTCTACTATTTACAAACGTATTTACACTCTTAGAATTTTCTAGAAAGCAGGCTAAAGTTACAATGGCGGTCGAGAAAGCAATTCTAGCCGTAAAACACCACAACGATGTCAGTGGTGGTGCAAATTATCGGTTGTACGAATCCGACAATTTAGCGTTTCATCGTTGTACGACACGACGCTATTCAAATCTCGCTCCTGTCTTCGCTCCCCGCTCCACCGTGGCGTAGTAAAACAAATCCTTTTATCCCGAACGACGCGTTTCGTCTCCTCGAAACCGTAGCCGCGTTCATCCCGCAGGATGTGTTCGGGATGAAGAGTGTAGAGAGAACGACGCAATTCTACGTTGACGGAGAATACTTTGTCGGGTTACAGGAGGGAGGGAGGGAGCAGGTCGAGGCACATTGCGCAACGCGGCACGTCTGCATTCTGCTCCCCCTCCCCCCTCCTCTCCCCCTATCACCGTCTTCCGCCCCGTTATCCCCCCCCCCCCGGCGACGGCTGCAGACGGCGCATAAGCCACTCGTCATTATTTCATCGAAGTCGGTAGTTGGTTCAACAGGTACATATCTCTAGCGCAATATGCTTGCCGCGGTCTCGATTCTGTCGTCTGAGAAAAGAAAGCGGGACAACGGACAGGGTCACCGATTCGCGGGAGGATGCTTGCATACAGGATATCGCAAAAGTGGAGCACAGATATTATTCAGTGTTGGTTTTGTCTTGAACGCGCAGCTCTTTTATATTAATTTCTTAATAGATTTCAACGCATTGAATATTTTCAACGCGTTGAAATCTATTAAGAAATTAATATAATAAATAACGAGGATACAACGTACTCTAAATTTCTAGGTGGAAAGTTCAAAATTAAATTTACTTATGTAATTGCCAGTGCGAAGAATACGCTGATACAAAATTTTTTACCGTTCAATCGTTCGTATCGTCTCTATCGTTTTTATTCCTAGCACTTCTAAAAAATATAGGCAATTTTTTTTTATGACACCTATATCCTCGTGCATATCATTGCTCTATATCTTTCTACGATGCATGTGACACGCCGAGACGAGAGAATGTCGAACACGGGGAGCTCGACGAAACTGGCTTCGAGCCAGAGCATTACTTCTGGGAAGGGTTAAAAGAAAAAGAGTCAGAGGAGACGATACATACGTGAGAGTGAGAAAATGGAAAATGGAAAATGAGAAAAAGAAAGACAGAAGAGAGAAACAGGGATCGAGGGGCCGGTAACCCGAATGAATATTTAATTTCTGCATATCTCACCCCGGTAAAGTTCAGAGCAACGGGATGGCCGGCTCACTCCCAAGAGGATAGAAGGAAGAGCCCTGTGTCCCTTGTACTTCCTAGCAGTCCCCGTGATATAGGGTAGACACTCCCGAGGATCTCTCTCGCCACCGCTACCGCCGCCGCTATTACCCTATCCCGCACAACCCCCAATCCTTTCCCACTCTATCCGGAGAGCTCGCTCTGCCGGCTGCTTTCCGCCGCGGTCGCTCGTGGCCGAAGGGCCAATTACGACCTTCCTTACGAGAAGGCGGAGACGAGGGTGAGCGGGATGGAAAAATACCGGGAGAGAAAGAAAAAGAAATGACGACGAGAGACGGAGAGAGGAAGGAAGGGAAAGACGAGAGTGCAGCGAGTGCCTGAAGAGCGTAGAAGCAGGAGATGGTCGAGAGAACGAAAGGTCGTGAAGAGCCGGGGATAGTCCGGAGGGTTGGTTCTAGACGAAAGTATTTCCACCGAGATCTGGATCTTAGACTCGATGGACCGCAGACCATCTAGGAGAGGCGGAATATGGACGCGCCGTCGACAGAGTGGGGTTGGAAGGAGATGCAGGGACAAGGGAACGAAATGGGGGTGCGGTCGAAAGTTTCAGTGGAAAGATAAAGGCGCGAGCGAGATCGATTAGTGCGCCCAGGGTAACGAAAGAGTAATTTATAGTGAGCAAAAGCGACGGGCTCGAAAGGGAAGCAGAATGGAATAGTAAATTAGCGAGAGAGAACGAGGACGGAGACCATGGTTGAGAGAGAATGAAGAATTGACGAGGATGGAGGGAAAAGGACGGTTGAGTTGGTCGCAGAAATATTTAATTCTGCATTCTACGGTTTGTACAGGTCGACGACGCGCGAAAC